GTGTTTTTGCGCTCTGATTAGTAACTTTATCATGCTGGTGGGAGGTTTTTTTGATAAGGAGAACAAGAATCTAGAGGTTTGGAGTCCTCCTATGAAAGCGGTCAAAGCTACCCTGTCGTCCACCTTTTCTACCTGTAACATCTCTACGTTGAATCGGGTGATGTATTCCGAATCGACTCTTCCTTTTGTTGCTCCACGGTAAACAGGTAGGTAGCCAGCCTCTTATGCCTCTGACCTGTAATGAAGTGGCTCACAAACTGCTTACTTAATTCTTCGAAGGTATTGATGGTTCCTGACTTCAGCTTGTTGAACCAAACTCTTGCTAATCCTTTAAGTATAGTGGGAAAAGCTCGGCACATGATTTCGTCTGGCACAGTGTGTAAATGCATAAGAGCTTGAAAAGTTTCTAGGTGATCGAGGGGATCTTTGGTCCCATTGAAGCTTTCGAACGAGGGCATCCTGAACTTGCTAGGTAGTGAACATTTCATAACAGCGGGGCTGAACGGCAAGTTGGTCCTTTGTACCAGGTCATCTACGGTGGCAGGACCTTTCCCTTTCAGAGCCTGCATTACATCTTCCATTTTCCCCTTGAGATCCTCGATCTGCAGGTCGAGATAGGTAACTTTCTTTATTTTTTCCTTAAGACAGAAGGCTGTGCTTTTAGGAGGTCGGGAACTCCGTGGGAGATATGGGTGGACCACCTCTTTATGTCGGGTTCGTACTTGGCTTTGTTCCACTTCAGTCTCATTTTGGGGGTGATGATTATCTTGCTCTTCAAGATTCCTATTCCCTCCGTTTGGATTTGAGAAATCTTGTCGTGGCAAGTTTTGTTGAACCAGTGGAACAAGATGTTGCAGGAGTACTGCATTTTGCTGGATCAACTAGTCCATACCCTAACTTAGAGTTTGGACCTACAGTTCCAACGCTACAAGCCATGTATGGTCGTCTGGGACGTCCAGGTTTTCACCCGACTCTACCCTTTGAACAAATCCCTGCGACGGTGTTCCTTCGGTAACCATACTGGATTGCAAACGTATATACCCAACAGAGTAATTAATTGATTCAAGTGAATCGTCGTTCCCACAGATGGCGCCAACTTTTAAGGGTGAAATTCACGCGGTCCGATACGACACCGTTTTCCTGCAAGGAAGAAAGGAGAAGATCGATGAACCTTGACGACACCGGTGTGGTGCCTGCCAAGAGCTCTCTGACGGTCAAGTTAGTCACCGGAGGTCTAAAAAGAAGGCAGGAATTTAATAATAGTTTTTTCGTCATACCTTATTCTCGAGTCGTCGTCCTATTTATCGTCGCTTCCCTTATTCTCGATAAGGGAATTTCATCATCCTCATCCCATGGGACTTATCCCATGGAAATCTTATCCTTGATAAGATTTGTCATCATCCTCATGGAAATCTTATCCTGCAGAAGATTTGTCATCATTCTTATCCATGGAAATCATTACCTCTAATAATAAAATATTATCGTTGATCACTGAAAAGATCTGGCGGCTGGTCAACACTTGATTACCTCTATCGTTAGGTCTAGATAGGTTTATTTTTCCCTGTTAGTTTTCATCACCATGGTCGCGAATGTGATTAAGTTAAATGATCCGATCACTTAGTTATGTGTTCCTTTCTCTCAAGGTTCTCTGGTTCTCTAATCCAACCCCAATGATATCCTTCAGCCATTCAACCTATTCAAGCAGATAATTGCATTTGTAGTTGCTCCTGTATTCAACAAGCTCCACTCTAAGCCTGAATATTTCATCAATCATATATGGCTTGGGTATTCTTCGGATCAACATCCCAAAGAATGTTGTTATGATCATCAATAAACTTAGATTTGCAATGGGTTGATTTAGGATCAGCAAATGTAACCTGTTTTGGTTTATGGGTTGGTGATGCTTTGGTGTTATGGGTTGCTGTATGGGTATTATGTGATTTGAGATTCTATTTTGACTTAAGGATAGATATGGGGGGTTGGATCTGTTTGGTGGGTTGTGGAGGTATCTGAGATTGAGAGAATGGAGGTTTTAGATGGTTTGGGATGGGGTTGTGTATAGAGGGAGGTTTAGCGTGGGAGAGCATTGGGAGGGAGAGACTAAATTAGTTTGGTAAATCTAAGGTAACAAAGAGTCCCATTGTAGGGAGAAGTCTATGTAGATAAAAATAAAAATACATAGATAAATTAATAAAAAAGAAAAGGTACATATATGAATAAATTTTGTACGAGTAAAAGTTGTATTCATATAGAAGAAACCATGAATTTTGAGTAATTCCACGGTTGAATAATTTTTGTGCCTTGATTTTCCTTTTTTTCAAATGAGTTTGCCATATTTTCTTCTTCTATATATATATTGGACAAAGATTTTTGGGTACCATTAAGTTTGATCAATATAAACTCACCTCCCTTTTATTTGACAAATTAGTCAAGAGCACAAAATACTTCCTTAAGGTTTCACCATATAAACAAAAAGAAATTATTCTTGCACCGAACTTATTCTTTTAATTGCTCAATTATGTAACAAATAAGGAAATAGAGCCCTCCACCTAGTTATATTTGGTATAAATAACTAATTAAAAAATATTCGGTTAAACAATTCACTGTAAGTAGTCAATGTGAATATCACTACTTTAAACAAAATACCTATTATGATACAAAAGTGAACATGTTAGTCACAGTAGTTCAAAAGTGAGAACATTACCCCCTTAAAATTAGCCGGAGACTACTTTCCATCCAAAAGTACTTTTATTGGAAATGGTAGGAGAAGGATGGTGAAATGTAAATTGAATATATGTAATTAAAGCTGGTATTTTAGTAAAAGATTTTTGTTGAATAAAATTAATTGAAAATCGAAAAAGAATTGATGTTAAACATCTTTTATAGTAGTGTTAACGAATTAAAGAGTCCTAAAAGTTAGAGAAACCTGCAAAACAGGATGGGCATTTGTGATGGTAGGAATCTTATGAAACAAGATGGTACAAGTCCATTTTCTTGAATTTTGTGGGTGTGATGGATCAGGGTAGATGAGGCCTGTGAATAATAAATTAATAAATTACTATACAAATTAATAAATTATAATTATGAAAATTAATTTTGTCTCAATTGAAACTACTTCGTAAAAATAAATTTTGAAAACATACTTGAAAACTAATTCTATCTCTACTGAAACAACTTCATAAAAATAAATTTTTCAGAACTTGAAATTACCTAAAGGCTATGTTTGGATACCCAGAATTGTATTTGATTAGAATTGTATTGAGATTGCAATTTCATGGTATTACAATTCTACCAGTTCAAATCCAAATTCACTATTTGAATGAACTTTAGAATTCAAGTGTAATTGAATTTCAATTCCAATTTAAGTGTTTGAATACCGTCATTGATTGGGAATTGAAATAAACAAAGTAAATAATAAATAAATAAATATATATATATATATATATATATATATATATATGTATAAAAAATTATATAGACACATATAAAATTACATGAGAAGCTAATTCATTTAAAAATTAGAGTCTTTAGCGAAAAAAAATTTGTGAAAAAAGATTAATGGATAATGGAAAAGTGTTGTCCAAAATTTTAGATCTCTAATTGGGAGGTGGATTCATTCTCAACCTACAATGCAGTCCACTCGTGCCCCTTTTGCCCAATGTTTATATTTTGTATACGCACTCCATTTTCTCAAATTACACTACATTTATGTTTTTTTTTTTTTTAAAAAATGACAAGAAGGTCCTTAAATTCATTAATGTACTATCTCTTAATTTATAATATCATAACTACCATTTATACAACTTTAACATTTTTTTACCTTCTTCACTTTATTTAGTATTTTTTTCCCTTTCTATTTGTTTTTTCCAGAGGTCCTCTCAAAGAAAATAATTTACTCCATACTAATAATTTAATTTTTGACAGTCAAAAGAATTAATTTAGTCCATAATGATTTTTTTTTTTTTTTTTTTTTTTTTTTTTTGGTACAATAGAAAGAGATATTATGCAACAAAGTTAACTTTTTTTTCAATCAAAGAGGTAACTTTTTTTTTTTTTTTTTGATAATTTTTTATGGGTCAAGTCAAAAGAAATAATTTATTAGATAAAAATAACCCTTTTTTTTTTTTTGGTTCTTATCAAAAGAGATAATTTATTCAATATATATATATATAATCCTCTTCTTTTCATACTTTTTTTTTTCTTTTGGGGATGTTGACAAAAAAATATAATTTCTTCAATAAATAATTTTTTTCGGAGTTTTTTTTTTTTTCAACATTAAAAGAGATAATTTTTTTAATGGTTACTTTTTATTTTTATGGTCCAGTCAAAAGAGTCAATTTATTCAACATAAATTTTTATTTCTTGGTCCCGTAAAAAAATAAAATAAAATTATTAAATTTATTTTTTGTCTTGTTAAAAGAGACCTAAAATACTAAAGATTAGAGATAAGGAGAAGAAATCTAAAACTATAGTTTTGTCATTTAAAAAGTAATAATTATTTATTTGTAAAATTAGGGTTAGAATTGCCATTTCATTTAAGATTGTAATGAAAATGTTGAACCATTTTATTTAAGATTGTAGTGAAAACGTTGAAAAGTGAATTACATATATCGCCTCCCTTTATATATATATATATATATATATATATATATATATATATATATATATATATATTAACGCATCAATACTACTACATGGAGTTAACTCAATATTAGAGCTGCAACTTGGGAGGGCTAATCGAGCCCAGCCCAACCCCAACCCCAACCCCAACCCCAACTCAAAAATTTTAAAATCTGGACATACAATTCACAAATCGGGCTTATGTTCAGGTTGGGTTTTGTCAAAACCCAAACATATTCGGGTTGGGGTTGGGCTCAACCCGAATCGAACCCAAAACCTAAAATTATAATTTTTTTTTTCTCCTTTCTCTCTCCTCTTTCTTCTTTCTCTTTCTCTCTCTCTCCCGCCGTCCCTCTGCCGCTGATTTACCGTAGCCGCTGTCATCCCTCTTCCTCAGCCGCTGATCCGCCGCCGCCATCGTCCCTCAGCCGCTGATCCACCACCGCTGATACCATGAAGAATAATGTCCGAGGGTGTACTATATCCAACGAATACTTAAAAGAAAAAATAAACAAAATAGGCATCCCAAAGACATTCAAATATACAAATAAAAGAGAACCCATGTCGTACAGATTATTATTATCTAATAGAGCCACTCGTCAAAATTAGACAGACACAATTATACAATTTAAGACACATTTTATCACAATGTTACTACTATCTCTCAACCCTCAAACATGACAAAAACAAAACAAAAACACCAATTATACAAATTAAGACACATTTTATCACAATGGAACAGCCGGCGATGGAAACTGAAAGATATGGGTTTTGATGTTTTGAACAATCTGAAATGATATGCCGATATGGGTTTTGAATTTTTGATTCTTGCATACATCTGAAATATTTGGGTTTTGAACTTCTGATTCTTGAAGACATTTCCGAAATATATAGGTTTTGAACTTCTGATTCTTGTAGATTTTGTAGTTTACAGTTGCAGAGAGAGAGAGAGTTGAGAATGAGACAGGAGGCATTTGGGGAGGCTGAAATGATTTGCCCTAAATTTTTTTTGTTTTTTAATTAATAATATAATCAAATATAATATATATATATATATATAATATGTGTGTATATATATAATATGTATAAATTTCCGAAAAAAAAAAAATTTACTACCTCCGTCCCAAAAATAATGTCATGTTTCAGAAACCGTGTCAGTTCAATTTGTGAAAGTCACGATTTTCTAAAAGTGATACTTTTTATAGGACGGATGGAGTAAAATACTCAACCCATCAACCCGACCCAACCGGCCCGAAAATATTCAGATTGGGTTTTGACCATAACTCATGTTAGATACAATTCGGGCTGGCCCAATCCAACCCGATTTGGGTTAAGGTTGGGTTGAGACTGAGCTAGGTTGGGCCAATCCAACTTGCAGCCCTACTTAATATGCAGTCCACCCAAACCCTCTATCCACCCATGATATGTGAATTTTATTTATTTTAATATCTAATTCCACTCAGTATCCATAGCTTTTATTTCACATATTATTTTTTGATATTATTTATATTCTGTGCTGTACCTTAAGTCAAAAAGAAAGTATATAGAAGTTTTGAGATATATTTATCAAAGAAATGAAATCAAATAAACAAAAAATCAAAATTATTCAAGACATTCATATTTTTTATAATCAGTCACGTCTTTTCTTATCACTTCTTTTAAAAAATATTTTTTCTTTGTTCTACAAATTAATTTAAATTAAATTTTGATAATCACATTGGTCCAATTATATCTGCTATATAAGTTAAATTTCAATGACAACATAAGTTTTATTCAACAAATAAGATTCAACAGTCCACACTTATAAATATGCATTTGGAATTATCATCACCTGAATAGCATAGTTATGATATATATATATATATATATCTATTGGCTCCCAAATTTTAAGCAACTTTTTTTTTTCTTTTTTTTTCTTTTACAAATTAATTACAGCAATTAAGTTACATTTTTCTTTTTAACAAGCCAAGAACTAATTAAGTAACTTAATTGAACGTTTTGTTTTCTATTATTTATTTATTTACCAAGGCATGGGATAAATTTTAAATATATGTGACCAACAATGAATCGGATTAGGGATGGCAACGGGGGCGGGTTTGGGCGGGTGTATCTTCCCCCACTCCCGCAACAGTTTAAAAATCCCGCTCCTGCCCCCGTCCCCATCCAAAACCGCAAAAACAGGAAGACTTTCTACCCCATCCCCGCAACCGTTTAACATTTTTACCTCGCGAGTACCCGTCTCGCCCCATTTAAGACCATAATTTATTTATTGTTAAAATTGATTTACTCTTCTTTTTTTTTCTCTCATCTTTAGTTCTGTACCATTGCAACTTTCCTTGTAATTAATTTATTACTTTAATATTGTTATATATGGTACTTAATATATAGTGAGAAATATATATATTAATGAAATTAGAGTACTTAAGTAATTTGTCTATCTAAATGGGGTGGGGCGACCTCCCCCGCGCCAAACTCGTGCAAATTTTTATTACATCAAACCATCCCGATCAAATAAGCTAAACGGTCCCCTAAAATTGCCAAAAATGGAACGAAACGGGACAGAACGAGTCAAATTGTCATCTCTAACCCGGATACGTGAGATTGTAAATATAAGAGATATAAATGTGAATTTAATTAGCCTGGGCAATATGCTGCCAGCAACGCCCACATCCACATCACGTTATACCTCGTTTACATACATACATTCCCTCAGTAATTAGCCTTCTTTTATCTCTTTTATTATCGTTTTTAAGGGCAAATAATACTGTACAAGTGTATGTATATATGTGTGTGTGTGTATATATATATATATAAACACATACACACCCACTCACACGGCCACACGAGAACGAGACACTATTAAATGTTACACTTGAAGGGCTGGGGTTGAGTGAGCTATATAGAGCCACAGAGGTGTTGTGTTCGGGTTTGTTTTGGTATTGGAAATCCTTGATTATATCATGGGATTCAAATTGTTGATTTGGAATGTTTAGAATTACAATGCAATTTTAATCCCAAATTGATTTGTACCAAATAATGAATTTGAAATTGAGAGTCCCAATTCTAATTTCAAAGTTCCAATATGATGCTCAATTCTAATTTCAAAGTTTTTTTTTTTTTTTTTCGTAAATAATTCTAATTTCAAAGTTCCATACTGCCAAACGTACCTAAAGAGAACGGTCAATAGAATTAATTTGAATATATATATCCAAAAGCCTTCAAGATGTTGAAGTGATGGAGGAGAGGAATCCCCCAAACAAAAGAGGAAAAAATAAAAAAATAAATTTGTTGTTTCCATTAACAAATGCTCCCTTTCCTTCAAAAACGAATCTTGAAAACAAACCTTGAATCTTTTTCCAAGAATTGGTTCTTCGTGAATAGACTTGGATTTCAAATTCTTTTTCATAAATATTTTCATAAAGACCTATCACCACCTTGTAGTCATCCTTGGAGGAATCATAACCAAACCCATAGAAGTTGTAGGTAAACTCTGAAGGACCGGTTTGCGGCAGCTCTTTGCATTGTCTAGTGGTAGGGTTCCATAAGAATGAGTCTTTAGCATTCCAGTCAAAACTGCACAATAACAAGCCATTACAAGAACACAAAACCTTCGCGGTTCTAGGTCGACTGCGGATCAATGGAAGATGGAGATTAACAATATTATTATCCAAAGCTTCAAAGTCCATACATTGAAATGACGATTGATCAGCTTTAAAGTCCATACATGTGACAAAAAGGCCACGTTGGTATTTACCCAAAAAAAAAAAAGGCCACGTTGGTTGCGCATTTTGTTGAAGCCAGGTTGCACAAATAGAGTGAGCCAATTCTTGCATACGCATCTGAACCGGAGGATGGACTTGGCGGGTTGTTTTGGAAGTATGTTGACGATGATCTCTTCAGGAAGATATGGTAATGGCTTTGTTGTGCCTTTCTCATCTTTTGCCATCATTCTTTGTTTTTGGTTTCTGTATATTTTGGTTATCGTGTTGGATATAATTTATAAATGACGGGTCACAGAGATTTTATGCGTAAATAAAATCGAATACTATATCCACTAAGACAAGGAATGCAATATTGAATCCAACATTGTTCAATTTGTATTTATCAACAAAAACAAATACTAACTTTACCATAAGAAGGAATGCAATGTTTTATATATAAGCTTACTTTTGTACTCTTTTGGATGTAAGAATGAATGTTCTATTATTTGTCAATTGTTATCTTCAAATGTTTGATAATTTAATTAATGAAGGATATTGATGGGGTTTACACAGTCCTAAAGTAGAGAGAATTGTCGTTGTAGTAAATAATAATAATACATATATGAATAAATTTTGTATAATTAAAACTTGTAAGCATATGGAAGGAGTACCCATGAATTTTGAGTAATTCCAAGGTTGAATTATATATATATATATATATATATATTTTCAAGGCAATAAAGGTTAAAAATTAAATTAGTAGATGACACTTCAAAATTTAAGGCACTAACCCAATGGGCTATTAAGGCCACCGCGGTCTCTATCATTAGACAAATTATATTGACCCCTATTAAATTTGACGAATTTATAATTATGTTTCTATCCTCTTTTATATATATATATTGCAATAAAATTTCTTCTAGAAGTGGAATTTGAAAATTACAAAAATTGCTCGTATTAACATTTGAGCTCAGTGTATATGGACGAAAAAGGACGGTATAAATTTTTTTTTTTTTTTTTTTTTTTGTTTGGGTAACTGGGACAGTGTAATTTATCAAAAATTATATATATATATATTAATGGGAAATAGCGATATTCCCAATTCCGGGCGACTGATATTGGGCTGACCTTAACAAATTTTATTGAACTCATATTATTTGATCTAAACTTTAACAAATTCAATTATACCTTATAATTTCAACAGATAATTTCTTTCAACATTCAACTACGAAATTATGATCAATTGACCACATTTTAGAAAACAGTCATATACATCTAATCTTACCTCTGCATAAACCAAGTTCCACTCTCAAATTATAAATAAAATTAGGAGTAGAGAGAGAATTAGAAAGAACTCATTCGTGAGTCAAGAAACCAACAATAACCAAACACACGGGGAAATAATTGTCTGCAAACAAAGAACTTAGAAATTTAAAAAATTAATTTTAAATAAAACATATACTACATTAAATAGTTCTAGCTAAGCAAATGCTTCTGAAAACAAAACCCTACCATATATTGCAAACGTAGATTTAAGACATAACTGAACCCAACGAAAAAAAAAAATTTACTCAATACTCATTATTTTGCTCTCAATCGGTGGAACAAAACTCTCCACATACGTAGCTGATTCAATGAAAGATTTTGCAACCAAAAGATCCTTAAATGTCTTGTCTTCGAAATTGTACTCGACAATCCCTCGATTCCACACTTGCATGATAAGTTCACCACTCTTTGTGATGTATAAAGGCCAAGGTGGATCCCGCTCTGTTAAAGAAGGTGGTATGGTTATTAACTTGGTCCAAGACTCCTTCACGCCATACTCTTTCATCATCCATATACTCCAAATATTGTCCAATCTTTCCAGGTCACTACAAACTACACAAAGACACCCTTTTAAAACCCCCACAATTAACATTCGAATCTCAATATTTCCGCAATCGGGTACTGACATTTCTCCAAATTTCTTCTTCTCTAAATCAAAACAAGTAATCGTGAACAATTTTGAACCTTGACCAAGCGGAAGTCCTAACCAATGCAAAGAACCGTTAACAAATTCCCCCTTGTCTTGTAGAATTTTTCCCGCGTAAGGGAAATCTCGTGCCCTTTTCCAAGAATTGGTTCTTCGTGAATACAGTTTAATTCTATATACAGTAGTTTTAGTAATTTTCGAATAGCTGCAATGTGCTTTCACAGCCATGTAGTCATCGATGGAGGAATCATAACCAAACCCATAGAAGCCAAAGTTACCAACCCAACGACCACTTGGTGGCAGTTTTTTGCAGTGTCTAGTGGTAGGGTTGCATAAGTACAAGTCTTCAGAACAGTAAGAGAATTTGCACAATAACAAGCCATTACAAGAGCCGAACACCGTCAGTGTTTGGTACCGACTTGGGATCTGTGAAAAATGGAGATTAACAATACAATTATCTAAATCTTCGAAATCCAATCTAACTGAGTCTGATTGTCGCCCCCGCTGGGAAGTTGATACAATCAGGCCACAATGGCCGCGCATTTTGGTAAAGCCAGGCTCGGCGAATAGAGCGAGCCATGACTTGCAGACGCATCTGAATCGGACGAGGGACTTGGAGGGGACTCGCAAAAGTATTTGGACGATGATCTCTTCCGGAAGGTTTGGCAATCTGTTCCTTCTGCTCTTCTTTATTGCCATATTTGGTTTTTGGTTTTCTGATAGTACTTTTGGTTCTCAGTGCCGGCATTTATAACTAGTTTGAGAGTATTTATGCTCAAATCATAATTCTACCAGAACAAGGAATGCAAATAACTTAGCTAAAAGAGAGGGCTATTGAAAACTAATAAGGTAACTTATTACTCTTCCTTTTCCTAGTTTGAGGGGCGGAGCCAGGAATATATATATATATATATCTACAAGCAAATAATAACCCTTAGTAAAAAGGGTTTTCTACAATAGACCCTGGGTAGAATGGTACTTTTGAAAAATAAAGTTTCGCATTATTCTTTTAATTCATTAAGCCGCGCATGAAGCCTCTCAATCTTGGCTCACATCCATCAAACAAAACCTAGCCCCCTCTCTCTCACTCTCTGGAATCCATCAACGAAACCCCAACCTTCTCTAAGCCCAAACACGATTTTGCCTCAATCACAGAGGATGATTGCCTGTAGCTTCAAGTAATTGTCGTTCTAAGACCATAATGAAAATGCAATTTTTGTTTTTCTTCTAGACGAATACGATATTTAAATCTTTTACCGGAACGCGATCGGTTTCTGTCTTTCGCAAGTTTAACCTTCAGAGGTAAATCGCCCAGGTACCCCTCTTCTCCTTTCTTCCTTCTCAAAACATTCATCGATCTCTATTCTTCTGCTTTCTTCCTTCTCTGAACCCTCATCTGTTTTCTTATTTTTTCTTCGATCACTGAAGTTATTTCTTCAAACATAGAGAATAAGCCCTAACCCTCTCTAACGAAGGTACTGTTTTCCAATTTCCTCTTTCATCTCTATTTTCCCTTAACAATTTGTAGAGTCTCTCTGTAAATGTTATTATGTGGTGATAATTTCTATCAATTAAGTTGTCATTTGTTTCTGGTGAGAAGATTTCAATTCATGTATTGGCTTGATTTGATACTCGTAAGGACAAATGATATCATTACCCATGTCCCAAGGTATAAGGGTTTATTGTTATTGTTATCAATTTCCAAAAGGAAAAAAGTATTTTTTTAATTAGAACAAGTTTGGGCGTGCCTTCATTTTTCCCCCTTTCGAACTGAAAAATTGTCCAATATTATACATTTATATTTCAGGGATAATGTCAGTAATTCTATATATTTTCATGGTCATGACATTTTTTTTTTTTTGAAAAGTGAATTCCAATTTTATAAATAAATATGAACAATACAACAGACCCATAAAGATAATGGGCCAGGATAGGGGCCAATACTATCATAGATCAACCAGGCACATACGCCAAGTTGTCAAAACAAAAACCTAGAAGGAAGTCATATCAAGCACATATATATCTACCAAGATGAAGTGGCGGCCCATAATAATTAATATGATCAATTAATCACATTAATATTCATAATAAACCAAGATGAAGTGGCAGCCCATAACCATCTTCCCTTCGTGCTTTATATGTCTTGTCTTGTTCTTTTACCAGGCATGACTTTCAATTTTTTTAATACAGAGGCTAAGCGAGCGATAAGAAAAAGAAGTACGCTATCTCACGGCGATTAAATCACCATATATTTTCTACGTTGATTCTAACATTGTTAAAAGTTTCGACAATTTATTTGTTTTTATCTACTTCGCTTATTTTACTTTTCATATTTTTCAAGTAAATATATCAAAAGGACACGATAGATGTAGATAAACCTGAAGGTAAGCTGCCTTTTTTGATAAGTTTTGATGTTAAAAGAGTAAATTTGATGTTATACTGATAAGTTTTACAAACAGCACTATACTCATTTGTTCAGGATCTCTAACGGATCACCCTCTAAACTTAATTTTTTATAAAAAGTTGAACGCCACAGCAGGCGAGTCTACAATGATGTCTATGATTTCACATCGCAGCATCGGGGTGCCGGAGGTTAGCTGTATGCTTTTGTGTGCTAAGAAACCTTCAAAATATGCCGATGCACATCTTAACTTGTTAATATTTTCAACAAATGTTGTGTCACCTTAAGACATGATCTATTGTTGATATTATTATCTTACATTGTTTTGTAGCCAACTGTTGGTTGGGTATACTACTTATCGTTGACCTAACTCCTTTTTTTACTTCCACAGTTGTTGCAATTAGAATGGAGTTATCAAAACAGAATGAAAACAGTTAGTTAACTGCCCTTACTGTTAGTATTATTTCATGTTTTAGAATATGCTTATATGAAGTAAATTTGTGATTGAAATCACATCGTATTTGCATTGCATCTTGTGGTTCATCTCCATATCAATTTAGTAATGAAAATAGTTATTAAACTGATATGTTCTTTAATTTAGTGATGAAAATAGTTCTTTAATTTTATTCTCTTTAGAATTCTAGGTCATATTCGTAGGTCAAAATCTATAGTTGTCTATAGATAGTGAGAGAGACAATGATAGCTGAATTGTTATGCACAATGTGTGAACTGCTTGTCGTCAAAACCTTTATGAACATCACTGTCAATTTTGTGAAGCTCTGCCTTCACTCTGTCTAGAAGATTGGTTCTAAAAGCAGAAACCAGTGTCTGCTTGATCACAACTTAATCCTCTCGAGCATCATATGATAAAACTGTTGGGATTTATATGCCCTGGCATAGCAAATTCCTATCTGGATTGTATTGACATATGTTCCTGACATATCTGAAATATTTATGATTTATATAATTGGTGAATTCAATGTATTATGTTTCAATTCACTATGAAATTGATAGTGTCCAGTTAATTACAAGAAATATTTATATATATGTATGTGATGACAATCAATGCATGATATATAAATAGTAATTATAAATTGTTCATAGTCGGTAATTATGGATGGACTCATAATTAATTAAGACTTGAACTGGATCTGCGTTAGGTTGAGATATATTGCGAGAGCCGTCGTATGCAATTACTCCCTATCACCGTCATGGCATTTGACTCTTAAGCATGAGAAAAGTATAGACTCTTTTATTAATTAATAATTACTTTGATCTGTTCGGCGGATTCTTCGGGATCCTTAGACCGACACTTTGGGTAGTTATGTAATTAATAGTTAGAAGGTTATATTTTCAATATTTGCATCATTGCTACTTGTATTTATTTTGTATTGATTATGGTTGATCACAAAGTAAATTCGAAGGCCTTCGTGTGTTTTTAGACAAAATGATTTATTATATATTTATTTATTTAAATTATTATTTTTGTCAAACAAATGTTTTATTGTGATCGAGCCAGAAATAATCAAAGGTACTAAAATAAATATATTAATTAAGTAGTCGGATTGATGGCTATATTTATCCGATAACTAATTATGCATAGAGGGGTCAAAGTGCAATATTGACTTAGAGGTTATTTATTATTTAATTGGAATTCAATTAATTTCTTTTAGTGGAGTAGAAATTAATTTATGAATTAATTGAATTGGGTCCATGGACCGGGCCAATTATTAATTCATTGTAGCCAATAAAATAATAGGCCCAATGGATTCTCACTCATAGCCCAACTTGATATTGGAATCATATTAGATTTGAGACATATGAATTAGAGATGGAGAAGGATTTGTTGTTTCCTTTTCTTTATTTTTATGTTGCCTATAAATATACATGGTCTATGTATATTTTAGGGGGTGATTTTTATGAGAAGGAAAAAGGAATAAATTTTCTCTCTCTAGAAAATTAGGGTTTATGTTCTCATCTAATGGAGGCTCCCACAAGCCTAGTTTTCCAAGGTCATTCAAGGAGGCTTATGAGTGATTCCTAAAGGCAAGACCATTACCAAGAAGATGGAGATCCATGGAAAAGATGTCTAGCAAAAGGGATCTACAATAAGTGAGAACATTCACTTTAGAGGAGAGATCTGAGGTTTACTCAAACCTTGATGTAAGTATTCAATCTTTTAGTTGAATAATACATCATATTTTATTTTATTTTTTGCATAAAACTTGTCTCTATGTGATGAATCAAGATCTATGAATTTAAATCCCTCGAAAAGTTTTTAAAACTAGCACGTTTCCCAACAGTGGTATCAGAGCATGGTTTGATTCATTATTAGAGATCATGATTTTATGAAAATCATCATTCATGGATCCAAAATTATATTCATATATATTTTTATTGATGTATGTTGATGTATGATTTAATATGTTGATATATATTGATACATGATGATGTATGAATAATTGTGAATGAATGATGATGTATGGTTGGGCCATGGATGAAGCTTATAGGAATATTACATGTAATTTTATCTTTGGATGAATGTAATTAAGGCTTTGATTTAGCCGTTTGAAAGTTCAATGATGTAATTTATTTTTTCCATTGTATTTCAAGTTGTAAATATTTTTAAAGCCATGTAATATTCATCAAAGGATGCTATGAAGCTTCAAGAAGGTCCAAGAGGGTTAAATTAGGCTTCAGAAATTTTCTGGGATTTTTTAGCAATTTTTCGGAATTTTTCTGGAATTTTTTAAGGCCTAATTTAATTTCTGGAAATTTTTATTACTTTTTCTGGATTTTTCGGCGTTTTTCCGGTGGCCGGAGCATCACTGGCGGCGAGAAGAGACGTCGGAGGAGGCTAGAATCAGGTGTGGCAGCGGTGGGGTGAGCCTGGCGCGTGAGGAACACGCGCCAGGAGGTGACATATGCTGGCGCGTGCATTGCACGCGCCAGCCAAGTGTGTATGGCCTCCACGCGCGTGCAGGCGCGAGGAGGCGTGTCCCACGCGCGTGCCAGCGCGTGGGGGCGCGTCCCACGCGCCCCAGGCGCGTGCCAGCGCGTGGGGGCGCGTGGCTTCACCTGCAGCATGCCCCAGGCGCGTGTGAGCGCGTGTGGGGCCCTCCAGTCGCGTTCCAAGCAGTGTTTTGCTTCTCCTAGCGCGTATCAACCTCCTGCGGGTGTTTGCAAGCTGATGGAAGATCCTCGCGCAATACTTAGAGTAATTAAATGTTAAAAGCTGAATCCATTGGCCATTTAATTTGCTTTATCTGTCATTTATTGTTGTATGTGATGCATGAAA